TGAATGAATTATGTTACTGATACCTAATGGTCAAAAGCAATAGCAAACGTAATTGGTCAATATTATTAAATTGCAGACAAAGATTTTGAATAGCTATACTGGCTTGTACACTATATTGCCAAACGTATTGGGACACCCCCTTCTAATGAACAGGTTTGACTACTTTAGTAATTTCTAATTTTTAGTAAAAAAAAAAAAAGCATATAATGCTATTCTAGGGAATTGTGTGCTTCTAATTTTATACTAATAGTTTGAACAGGACCATTTTCTATTCTAACACAACAATGCCTCTGTGTATAAGGCAAGGTAAAAAAAAAAAAGATTGATTCAGTCAGTGTGGAAGAACTTGACTGGTCTGCAGAAAGCCAAGTCCTCATCCCAGCTGAACACCTCTGGTGTGACTTTAAATGCAGACATTGAGACAAAAACTCATCACCAAACACCTGTGACTTGTACATACATATGGACCCACAGTTTTGGAAGTGTCTAAAATGGTTGTACGCATATGTACAAGTCATTGGTGTTTGGCGATGAGTTTTTTTGAGTTTTATTGAGTTTTCCCAATACTTTGGGCAATATAGTGTATGTTTGGTGCGGTAGGGGGCCCAACCTCATATTCTTTCATAGGGCCCAAAATTGCTAGCAGCGCCCCTGTTCGAACAAAGTAAGTGATTGTAAAAAAAATAGTCACACTTTTGGTCTTCGGTCAAAAATGACCGACCATATGAAATGAATGGGAAATCGACAAAAACACAAAAACTCTGAGAATGTTTGTGTATACAATCTACAAATCTGACACAATGCAGAAAAAAAGTACACAGCGATGACAGGGTGAAACTCTAAAACATCAAGAGTGCAAAACCAACACATCCACACACACACACACACACACACACGGAAATGAATGGGAAATCGACAAAAACACAAAAATTCAGAGAATTTTGCACAATGCAGATAAAAAGTACACAGCAATGACGGGGTGAAATTCTAAAACATCAAGAGTATAAAACCAACACATCCACTCACACACACGCACGTACACACACACTTATACACACACACACCTATGAACTGGTGTGACTGTAACACAGCAAATATGTAAAATAAAAGCAATAATTCAACTACAGTGCAGTAAAAAAGTGGACAGCATTAAAGGGGTTACACTCTAAAACATAAGAGTGCAAGAGTGCAAAACAGACACACTCACTCAAACACACACTCACAGACACACACACAAACATACACAATTATGCACAGTCAAATGCTCTGTGTTCAGGTTTAACTGTAGTAATTATAATTCAAAAACTGACGCTTCAAATCAACATTTCAAACAAACAAAATCGAAACCTTTACAAAAAGTTGTCTTTGAGAATGTCTAAATATATATCCAAAACCACTTAATAAAGTAAACCCAACTTAATAAAAATAAGTATTTATGTCTAAAAACAATTAGAGAATTTATAGCCCTTTTATATAGAGCTATATAGGAATCTATGGACTAAACCATGGGAATTGCAGAAGTTTTTCTTATTTTACTCCCACCAGATGGCACTAATTCAGCATTCAAAAATGGGATTTTAAAGGCATTGACTCTATTTTAACATGAAATACTGCATTCATTGAAAAGTAATATAAAAATATCTATTTTTAAAACATTTGTATTATTTTCAATGGGCAGAAATTCATCATAATTATTGCATAAATATTAATTAGTGCCATGAAATGATCTCAAAATACAAAACAAAAAAGAAAAAAATATATTATTGAACAAAAATATATTACATTGATTTTACTGGGGCGAAAAAAAATTTAATTTCAGGTGTCGGGTCACTTTTGACCATGAAGATCACAAGTGTGACTCCCAAATGAGGAGCACCAGAGGGTTAAATGAAACCCTTAAAGCAACCCATGAGCTTTACTGTAGTCCCTAAAGCAGCAGCATCCACCAATCCGTTTATGGAATACAAGGAAAACAAAGAGAATGAAACTAAATAGAACTCCACATTAAAGTGAAGAGAAAGTGAAAGTCAGGGCTCTGGAGCCTGATGTTGCTGCCTGTGAACATCCTCTAAACATCCTCTGTCTTGATTCATGTGGAGGTAAGTGTTACTTTTGAACTTACTTTTGATTCACAAAAATGAAGTTCTTGTCAGATGTCTACTTATAAAACTTTTTTTTTTTTTTTTGGAAAGAGATTATTATTTTATTTAAAAAATAAAATAAACAAATTATATACGTTAAATATATTTAAACACACATATACAAGGACATATATAAAAGGCCCTTTTGGAGTTATGAAAACATACAGACATGGTCTTGACCGTGTTTAGTCAGTGCATATCATTTTTTTTTAACTCAAGAAGCACAAATAATTGATCAGTTACGAATTACAGCTCTTTCTGATGTGATGCCATAATTAATTTACTCCTGTCCAGCATTTCCTGATCTTGTTTATTGTCTAATGTTCTCAATATTCATGAAAAAGTCTTCTCAGTAATACCACTGTGTTACTAAACCTTCTGACATGAATTGTTTTGCTTGTATTGGTTACCTGGTAACCCTGATCTTCCATCATGTTTGCTACTTGGAAACACTCTGGTCTGAACTGTTATTGCACATGCATCTGTACAGTTTAGAAAACACTTTTCACTGGCATTGTACAGCAGTGTATCAATGTGTATGTGAAAAATAGAGCAATGAAGCTTAGTACAATCCAAGATCACACATATATTAATCAAAATACACACAATTTAAATATCTCTTTGAAAAAATCAATTAATAAATGAAATAAGAGCAACAGGTAAAGAGATCACTCAACTGGTCGCATGCTTATAGAGGTACAACATGCAAAACAGCTCAATAAGGACATTTTTCTTTTTTATTTTCTCCTAAAATTGAACTAAAATATGAATCATTTGCAAAC